ATAGTCTTGACTCTATCTAAATACTCCCTCCTTCATTTCACTAAATCTAACGCCCGACCCCACGAGACCCTAAAACCATTGAATTGAATATATAAGAAAAAAGTGTATTTTATGCCTTGCGTTAGTTAACTATTCTTTTATATTTTATAATATTTCATAGACAATGAAATCGAAAATTTATATAAAGGATTAAATTTAGAAATATTTCTTTATTTTTCAAATCTTATTCTATAATATTTTATGTTCTATTCATTATATATCTCCAATTTTATTCCTATTTTTGATTCATCTTATTTGATAATTTGAGATTCAGGCTTTTGATTATATTCTGTATTCATTGAATATTCTTTATTCAAGGAATTACAGATTTGTTTGAAAATCAGAAAATGAATTATATTCTTATTTATTCTAGAAGGATTGATATCTTTTTTTGGCAGGAAATATAGCAATAGAAATAGAAATTATTTTTTTCGAATATTCCCATCCTCACGGTAGTCTGTGGGGTTGGGCACTCTAGGGAGTCTCACGGCAATCTGGGGGGATGGGCACTCCAGGGAGTCTCACGGTAATCTGAGGGATTGGGCACTCTAGGGAATCTCACGCTAGTCTGTGGAGGTTGAGCACTCAGGGAGGGAATCTCATGGTAGTCTGTGGGGTTGGACTCTTGAGGGAGTCTTACGGCAGTCTGCGAGGCTGGGCGCTCCAGAGAATCTCATGATAGTCTGTGGGGCTGGACACTCCAGGGAGCCTCCAGGGAATCTCGTACGAGTCTGTGGGATTGGGCACTCTAGGAGGTAATCTCAGAGGGCGAGGAGTAATAGCTGATTTTAAAATCTAATAACTTCAGCGCGAGGCTGGGGAATAATAACAATGATATATATATATATATATAGAATATATTTCGTGTCGTGGAAATACTAATAATGAAGGTCGTCAGAATAAAGGCAACAAGATAAGTGATAGTAGTAGCAATATAGAGATAATACTAATAATAAGAATAGCAATAGAAAAAATAATTAAATATAAATATATTGAAAATAATTGATATATAGATATATCGTGTCGCGTCATTATTAGATAATAACAAGAGATATTAATCATAAAAAATATTCATAATCAAAAATCATGATCATAGAAATGATATATATATATATATTGAATTTTAATTGCCTTGGGCGTTATATATATATCTGGTTGACGAGAATTTTGCCCAATAAAATCTAGTAGTTCGGATAATCCTTTTCGATCTGAGGCGTCTTCAAGCAAGTATAAACTAAATCTTTTATAAAAATAAATATTTAAAATGGATATTGCCAAGCCAAGCAATTCTTCGGTCTACTTATATCGCCTTCTCCCCGTCCGGAACGGCCCCCCCCTTATTTGAGATTCTACAAAACGGCGAAATGGAAAAATGGGAACTTGCGATTTTCGCAGGATATGCCCCAGTAGCTTAAGGTGGTGAAATCAGATTTCATAAGTAGAGAATCACTCAATTTGGCTCTCGTAGCTTCGTTAGAAATCCTTGCCATTCCGATTTATATGATCCCTCCATATGATAGATATATTGGCAATTGAATATAAATTCTTGTCATGGAAAGGATCGATATTATTTCTTTATATTTTCATTAATTTCATTATAGATCTATTATATAAGAATATGAGAATTATATACGATTTATAAATTAATAGCTTCTTTTTAATAGATAAATCTACGTATTTCTAAAATTATTTCAAGCTCTGAAAAATC